TGAGACCACAGTTTAATAATGGGTTACCAATACTTCTCTCTGGAGCCGATATAGTGAAGCAACACATCTTCCACTTTCTTATATTATATGTTATATACTAGGCAGTTTATTTACGGAGTGCTCCAATGAAGCACTGAAAAGGCAAAAGTGGCAGATTCTCTTAAATGACTTTAAGGTACTCTGTTGCTTTTGGCTTCCAGTCCAGTAAGAATGGTTGAAGCAGGGATGCACTGATACTAGTATCGGTACCGATACCGAGTACTCGCCCAAATGCTCCGATGCCTAGCCCGATACTTCCTGTATCAGGTAGCCAGGCGCCACGTCATTACATGGCGCCCGGCTTCCATGATTGGCCAGCAAGCCGACTCCATGCTTTCTCGTCACACAGTGACGAGAAGCATGGGGACGGCTTCCTTGCTAATCAGGAAGCCGGGTAGCGAGTCTTTACACGCTGCCCGGCTTTTGGCTAATCAGGAAGCCAGGTGTCCAGTCATTACACACCACCTGGCTTCCTGAATGGGACTTTCTGGTATTCGGTATCGGCGAGTACCGGAAAAAAATATATCAGTACTTGTACTCGGTACCCAAATACCGGTATCGATGCATCCCTAGTTTTAAGAGTAACCTCCAAATAAAAGGTGAGCACCCAGTAAGGGGTTTTGGGAAATGCCTGTAATGGGATATAATCTTTGTGTCTAAGTCTTCCCCAGGGAGGGCATTTTATACTAATATTCTATTTACCCAAATACCGGTATCGATGCATCCCTAGTTTTAAGAGTAACCTCCAAATAAAAGGTGAGCACCCAGTAAGGGGTTTTGGGAAATGCCTGTAATGGGATATAATCTTTGTGTCTAAGTCTTCCCCAGGGAGGGCATTTTATACTAATTCAAATTATTTTTGATTGCGAAATAAGCCAGTGGCACAAAACTGCATCAAGGCTAGGGACTTCAAAAATGAAAGTCTTTCCCAGGATCCACTGCCTACAATTTAATCATACAGTATACACATACACCAAGTAGACAGAAGTGTGGGGCACCAGGAAGGATAAAGGGAAGCTACAAACAGTACCTCCCACAATCACTAAAGAAAGCTAAAATCAATAGCGAGACCTAAAGTGTGCTTAAATTACCTCTGGAAAGTATAAGCTATATACAGGATGTGTTATTTTTGATTTGGTTTCCAGTAAGGCGCGGTCTTTTCGCTGAATGCTCTGTTGCAATTCTTGCCATTCCTAGAAGACAAATGATAAAAAAAAAAAAAAATAAATGTTACTAAAGATGTAATATATCAAATAGGATTTTGTTCTTACCGTAAAATCTGAGTCCATTGAGCAACACAGCTCTGAAGAATTCTGAGACGAAGGGTTATGCTGCTGCCTCCAGGAGAAATGGACGCTAGGCAAAAAAAAAACAAAAAACCTGCCACTAAGTATATAACCTCTTCCAGCTCACACCTCCCAGTTGTAGCAAGCAGATACAAAAGGAAATAAGAACAGGAAGCGGTGTTCCTCAAATAGAGTCCATTGAGGGACACAGCTGTAAATAATTTTGAGACGCAGGGATGTTCAAAAAGCAGTCTAAAACAAAGGGGCAGAGGCATCATAAAAACTAGAAGCAAGCCGGTACTATGTGGCCCGCAGCCAGCTGAAAAGTCGGGCACACGGTCAAGGACCGCGTGCCTGACTTGCGTGAGTAGCTACATGGTCTGCATCTCTGTTGAATGCAGACAGCATAGCTGCTCCTGTCAGCTCTGGCCAGAGCTCGGACCACTGGTAGGGAGACACTGCATCCAGCAGAGCTCCTGGACTATTCATTAATTTGCACAGCAGTTTACTCAGTGAGGACTACAAGTCCGATGTGACATTTGTCTTGCTTCGTTTGTGAGAACAAAGTGTGTTTTTTATTTATTTTCATCAATTAAGGGATCATTGCACCAAGTTAGGCGCTCAGTGTCTTTTCTATGCAGTTTCCAGGATCCCTTGTCTGTTAAGAGGCGGCCATACTGGTTTTCCATCAACTCTTTGGGCCACGGGAGGGTTTCTTTGGTTGTGCAATTGGTGCTGGGCGGGTCAATTTGTGACCTAGATAAATGTCACCAATGTCTGGCCGCTCCTTACTGAGTAAAAACTACACCATCAGTATTCAGGGAAATGGAGGGAAATAAAACCGTAACCGTTTTCCCAGCAAGCCTGAGCAGAAATAAAGAGAAGAGCTCTCCCACTTTTGAAGTACATAAAGTATAACAAGCACAGGTCACCTTAGCAACACCCCAGTGGCATTGTAATGTACAGCCCACTTGTGACTGCAAGAACCAGAAACATCGGTGACACTAACACAAAGTTGCTGAATAAAACTAGTAATAAGGACACACAGTTGGAAAGAAAAAAAAAAACAAAAAACAAAAAACAAACACACACCGTGCCCTGCTAATGAGTTTGTTCAGACAATTCTGCCTCAGACACATTTAGACACAATAATACTCAGCCCCGATTGGTGTGAGGTAAAAATACGAGGTACCACAACCACCTGTGGCAGACAGCAGAATAATCAAAGAATGGCTGTGTAAGAAGTAAAAATAAAAAAACAAAAAATAAAAAAACACACAAAAGGATCTCTGTTCTCCCCAAAAGCAACCTGAAATTGAGGACAAACAAAGGAAGCAAAGGCGAATTTGCTCCATCCACCTTCACCACAGAAAGAAATGCAATACACGGCTGTGAGGAAACCAGAAAAACAGACTGCACATGCTTGCAAGTGCACAGTAGCTAAAAACAAGTGTTTCGTCAAATTGAAGTCCCGGTCTCTTAAAGAGACGGCAGGAAATTTAAATAAACTCAATCCAAAGTAACTTCACATAAAAGCATTTAGCCAAATAGGAGTTTAAAACCACACAGCCCAAGTAAAATAAAAAAGGGAGGGAAAACACCCAACCTTATAAAACATGAGGTAAATATATATATATTCTTTTGTTTACTCACGACTTTATGGCCCTGTTCCTGAGTTAAGAAAAACAATAAAAACACGAACACAGGATAAGTATTGAGAACAGAAGCAACCTGACAATAAACTAGAAGGGAAGGAGACATCCATTCTCCTGAGGACACTTAGCGAAACTGACAGGTGCGAGAGGTTAATGTCCATAAAGTAGCAGGCTTTAAAAACATTTTTTTTACCTAGTGTCCATTTCTCCAGGAGGCAGCAGCATAATCCTATGTCTCAGAATTCTTCAGAGCTGTGTCCCTCAATAGACGATAAGAGAAATATTGTATCACAACAATGCTGTATCCTTAACTACTAAATTGAACTTATAAACCCAACTCAACCATAAATTCTTAAAGGCTGGACCTGCATGTAACTACTAGCCAAGTTTGCAAGTTACAGCTCGCCATTATGTCCCAGATAAATTGCTTACCTGGAAAATGGTTAGATAATCGCAATTTCCCCAAATACAAGAGATTTTGAGTTCAGGTTGTTCAGTTACATGACATAATGGATACTCCAGCTCCACTGAACCCCAAACAACTAACATCAGCTTCAACATACTTCTCAAGGAAAACTATATGCAGCTATGCTGGTAAACTCTAGCAAATGATCTATTTGAAGATACAATGGGGAATGCCAGAGCACGTTTAACATCATAGGCAGAGGTGTAATCGTAATGAGAATGACTCTGCTGGTAACATCTGTCAAACGCAGAACAAAATTATACAAATAAAGTCTGATTTTAACAATATTTGCCTAATTTTTGTTGCCTGAGACTAGACAGTGAGATAAAACCTACTCAAAAACCGCAGCTTGCAGCATCTTCCTGCTGAAAGCTGCATCAGCTGAAGCTAAGATATCGACAGAGAGACTGTAATGAAGGTGTAAGGGTGACAATGGGGAATATGCTATAAAAGTACTCCAATTTAAACTTTAAGAAACAAAATTCCTGCTTATAAGCAAACATCTATTTGTATCTAAAGTGTATATAATCATTAACAATTTAGTAAAATCGGTGGTTACGTCTCTTGTAACCAGTAAAAAAAATTTGTATGCCTCCCTCCAGTGCTAAATTTTTTAATTTACTGTTGTACAGCTTGTGATATCATAGGGTTGTCAATGCTCTCTGCTCATCGTTTGCCAGTGGAAGGAGTCTTTAAATACTCCTTATGTGTACAAAGCAGGCGTGTGGGCAGTACAAAGGCTGGTGATAGGGCAATTGTAAACTCCACCATCATTGCCGAGCTGCAGTGGAAAGGTTCTCTTCTGTAATCATGCTAGCACTAAATTACCACAGTTGTACTGCTGACGAAGCAGATAATTACAGTATACCGCATAACAGTATACTGCATACTGTATAACAGTATACTAGTTTTCCCTATCTGTAGGTCGACAAAGAAAATTCAAGCACAATGCATTGTCAGACACCAGAGGGCTTTATTTACATTTTTATCATATGACAGATGTAAACCAGTGGGACGGCCATCATATGCAAAATTTATATAAATCAGTATGAGCATCTGCTTTGGTTTTTTCTACACTGCTGCTTGAATCAGTGTGACAGAGTGTGGCTAGCATCAGAGTGTAGGTAGATTGGGTTCCCTAGGTGGCAGCAGCTATTTGTCATCTGCCTGTGTAAAACATTGCCATACAATTACTATCAAATGGAGTGGGTGTTAGTAGTTGATCTGCATTTGCATGGAGGAAGTCTACTCTAATGCCCTCAATTTACATTGCTTGCAAAATGATAACATCCCCTGCAGTCCACAGGACTACAGGCGGTGTGTTCCTGGTATCAAGCCCTTTCCTCAATGGACTGACTGTCATCCAGACTGGAAGTCATTTAGCTACCCTGGACTCTTATGAAAATTTGGAAGGAGAACAAGAGCAACCCAGGAGCATCAGAAAAAAGCAGTTGCTGGAAAGGAAGGTATAGGGCATCCCTGACACAAACACTTAAAACTAAACTCCAGACTCACATTTTATTAATAGTGAGAAAAGCTTTGTCTGTGCAATGCTTTAATGTAGTTCCCCTAAGCTACTGGGGCGGACTTTCACTGACTTCAAATTTAAGCTCTGCCAACTGGCGATTCACTGTCCAAAAAGACTGCCTCAGTGACCAATTAAGTTAAAGGCAGTTGGTGGAGCTTAGCCATGAAATATAGGTAATTCAGGTCCCAGTTAAAATAAACTCCTTTTCATTTACAATTCTCCCCTTTCACATCAGAAGCCCCCCTCTTCACATCATAATCCCCGTTTAGCATATATTGGAAGGCACGCCTAATTGAGGAAGGCTGTTAAGAAAAGCACAGAACAAGGGTTTGAGTAATTTAGCTAAAAACAAGTGGGCAGGGCTAACACCACAAAGTCCACAAAAATTATCTTTATTGTAAGCCCTAAGCAGGACAAGGCGCATGCATGTCTGGTGGATAACAGAAAAAAACAAAGTCTGAGGCGCAACTGCCCATGGAGTTGAACAGTGAGAGTATAGCAGGAGTTAAATGGGCTAGGGAATGCAGGTTAAATGCTGCCCGAGAAGCAGTTTTCGTAGATATTTTACCCTCACGAGGTTCTTGAGAAAGTGTAGTCATCGACGACGGGGTTCCTGTTGGAGGCAGCGTCCGGCGGTCTCTTCTGGGACTGGGTGCAGGGACTTCAGATGCCGGGTCGAGGTACGATTCTATCAGATGCCTGTGTGTGGGACGTGCGATGGCTCGGGTCACGTTGTTTCAGCGGAGCTGGAGCGTCTGGTCTGGTGGCGGCTGGTGGACGTCAAACACGTCCTGTGTTTGAGGAGATCTGGTTCGCTGGCGGGTGGGGGACGCCGATCGCGTCCTGTGTTGGATACGGAGCTTGCGATGCGGGCAGTGGCTCTCTGTACGAGGTGGATGAGTGACGAGGTGCGCAGGTGCTTTATCAAGCCCTACCCTGGCTTGATAAAGAAGACGTGATCTTTGAAACGCGTTGCCTAGACTACCACAAGCGTCCTATCCATTTTTGGACCAACACGACCGCCGTCGCTCGGCGGCGCCTGCGCACCTCGTCACTCATCCACCTCGTACAGAGAGCCACTGCCCGCATCGCAAGCTCCGTATCCAACACAGGACGCGATCGGCGTCCCCCACCTGCCAGCGAACCAGATCTCCTCAAACACAGCACGTTTTTGACGTCCACCAGCCGCCACCAGACCAGACGCTCCAGCTCCGCTGAAACAACGTGACCCGAGCCATCGCAACCCAGCCCAGCAGCACGTCCCACACACAGGCATCTGATAGAATCGCACCTCGACCCGGTATCTGATGTCCCAGCACCCAGTCCCAGAAGAGACCGCCGGACGCTGCCTCCAACAGGAACCCCGTCGTCGATGACTACACTTCCTCAAGAACCTCGCGAGTGTAAAATATCTACGAAACTGCTTCTCGGGCAGCATTTAACCTGCATGCCCTAGCCCATTTAACTCCTGCTATACTCTCACCTGTTCAACTCCAAGGGCAGTTGCGCCTCAGACTTTGTTTTTTTCTGATTTGCACCCTTACCAAGTGGACACTCCGGTCCACTTTGAACTGAAGCCGCACGCCACCCCCACCTCAACACCATCCTCCTCCACACAGCCCCCACTCAACTAAAAGTTCTGAGAAAGTCAGAACCAAAAAAAAACCCATCCCTCAGGAGAGCGCCGTCACACAGGACTTGAATCCTCAATTTTTATCATGTCTGGTGGATAAACTGGTATTTTCCAGTACTTGCAGGGTATTTAATGGGATAAAACATGGGGAAAAGTGCATGTATTGCACAGGTGTAATGCATATTTTGCTTTTACATTTTGCTCCAACATGCACTTGAATCCAGCAAGACAAATTGATACTAGAGCTTTAATTCAAAACTACTATTAATTGTAGATAAATCCAGAGGCAAGAGAGCATTTCCATCTTGGGCAGTGCAGCAGGGCAAAACAACCAATTCTTACACCTAGCTAAACACCAAAGAACTCCGGTTTTCAGTGTGAGAAAAAGGGCACAGCAGTGGTTGAAAAGTAGTTGCGTAGCTAGGTTGAAAAAAAAACAAGTCTATCAAGTTGAACCTACAGGAGAACATTATTTAAGTAATTACTTGTTCTTGTCAATAGTAATGACACTGGGCTTTGAAATATTGTTATCAGTTAGTCATAAATGGATGCTGTGCATTATAATCAAAATATATTACCCTGACTTATGTTGCTTATGTTTTGTATGTCTGAGTCAATATCAAATCATTAAAGGGTTTCTAAACCCTCAACTTTTTTTTGAATATATCCACTGCTATCAAGCAGTAGATATATGCAAAAAGTTTATTTAAAAAAAAACCGCTTTAACAGCAGTTTAAACTTACCTAGTCTTTGCCGCGCGCTCCCGTCCGAGAATCCGAAACTGCTCGGCCTGCCGCAAAGCATCTTGGGGCGGCGATGTGCAGTATGGATATTCGGCCGGGAGACGAGCAGAGACGCAAGGTAAGTCTATGATGCCTGCATCTCCACTTACCCTAGCAGAAGGTAGATTATAGCGTTAAAAAAACCAAACAAAAACATATTGCAACTAGGAAAATCCGTGTCCATGAAAATCCATGTACAGAAACCACAATCCTTACCGCTTCATCATCTTTTCCTTGTTTCTCGTCATTCTCTCTGTCAGATTCTTTGTCACTTCCATCACTTTGGGAATCTTTATTTGTATCTTCATCTTCAGAGTCACTGGCTTTTTCAGAGAGATCATCTTCTTCCTCTTTTGCCGCAACATCCTTAAAAAAAAAAAGTTTTCTAGTATTTATAGTGATACATGCATAGATTCAGCATCTACCAAATTGCTGCTCTTATTACACAGAACATCTCTTTACAGGGAGAGCAACAACTTAACCTGGATGATTAAACACACATGTTCTCCATGCTGTGGGTCTAACTACGCATGGCAGCATAATAAACATGTTTAACAGCAGCCATCTTGCTTTCACATATTTTACAAAAAAAAGATAGTTATTGACTTTCTAATACACTAAATTAGTGCAGATACCTCCAAAACACCAAAAGATAAAACTAGGCACACAAAATACCTACTTCATATTCTACACAACATAACATTCAAAGATGCAACATCATTTAAGCTTCTAACCTTTAGCCAAGACATGAACATTATAGCAAATTTAAAAAAAATCAAGCACAGTAACTTAACTAGAAACATTAATGATGATGAATACAAACTACCGCCTTAGATGCGAAAAAGGATTTTTGTACTTACCGTAAAATCAGTTTGTTGGAGTTCATTAAGGGACGCAGGATTCAGTTAATCTGCAGACAATTGAGTTATACTGCCTCCTTCAGTCGGAATTGGGACACTTGCAAGCAAAAAAAGTCATTGGCCAGCCAAGTATAACCCCTTCCACTCCCATCATGCCTCAGTGTTGTAAAACAGCAGAATTAGGATTAGACTGCGAACACAGATGTGGGACCTGTGCCCCTTAATGTTTTTCTACAAGAACATTATGTTGCATTGTAGGAGTCTGGTGTGGAACTAAGCAAATTATGTGAAGCATGAGGTTCAGAACTCTCATGTAGCACGACAGAGTTGAATGGTTGCTGCACTGCAGATTTCGAGTCTGGGAGTGGAGTGCTAAAAGCTTTTCTTGGGGAAGAAAAACTCTGGCTTGAGCTTTGTCTGCGGTCATTGCTAGATTCTTCATTCACATGTTGGTTCTATTGCAGAATTCTCAAGGTTGGGGATCCAATTAAACTCTTTCAAGGTCTGGACTGTCCGCATCACATTGCTAGTCAGAACCTGTGCGGACTGTTCCCTCAACAGTTGGCTGTCCAAATATCCCAGAATGGGAATGCCCTGTGAGCATAGCATGTCTAGCACAGTGGCTAGTACCCTGGTGAACACTCAGAGTGCGGAAGCAAGATCAAATGGTAGGGCTACAAGCTGGTAGTGCTGTCTGACACAGCAAAACAAAAAGGTAGCGTTGATGTGCTGAAAGGGGGGCTGGGCAGGATCGGTGGGGGGCTCTGCAGGATCTGTTGTGCAAAGCCCCCCTGAGACCCTGCAGAGACCACCACAGATCCTGCACAGCCCCCTTGAGACCACAGCTTTCCTGCTACACTAATAGCGGAACATGTCAAAAGCTGGATGCAGCTTGTGCACTGTATCCAGCGGCTGGCAGGTTACGCAGGAAAGGCTTGGGGAAATTTAGGAGGAGGAGCCCCAAACCAGAATACACCACTGGGCACAACACTTAACTGTCCGGCACGTTAACCATCCCTGTGGAAAACATTGGGAAAAGGGGAGGTGGGTAATGGTGCTCAACTGTACCAATAAATATTGTAGCTACATAAAAAGCCCAGCTTAGCAACAGATAGATGAAGTCCTAATTAAAGAAAAAAAAAAAAAAAAAAAAAAAAAAAAAAAAAAAAAACCAGTACTAAAAACAGAAAAACTTTTCTCAATAGACAAAAGACGCGCACCCTCCAAGGACACTAGCTAAAGCATGATGGGAGTGGGAGGGAGGTATACCTGACTGGACAACTGCTTTTTTATTTGCCGTTGTCCATTCCTTCTGAAGGTAGCAGCATAAACAGATTGTCTCTAAATAACTGAACCAAGTGTGTGTCCCTTAATGAGCAAGAAAGAAACCATTTGATTTCTCTATATTTTGTTTGTTAAAAAAAAAAAAAAGAGAACTATGAGGTGAGCGATTTAGACTCATCCTCATAGTTAGAGCCGGCGTGTGACATTGAAACTGCCACACGTCGGTTTTATTATTCGGGAAGTGAAGTGAGTGAACACATACCGTCGCTCGGTCACTTTCCAATCATCTCCCTTGACAGTCACCGCTCCCCGCAGGGATTCCCCCCTCCTCAATCCCCCAGCGCTGATTGGAGGAACGGATGGGGCAACACAGCTAGCTCTGCCTCTAGATAGGCAGAGTCTACTGTCAATCAGCCAGCTGGGTGGATCTCGACAATATTGTCGGGATCCGTCCTGGCTGCGGCACTCTCAGTATTTAGCGAGCTTAGTATTTAGCGAGATATAGACTTTGGGTCACGGGAGGATGTTAGTATATTTCCTCCCGTGACCCTAAAGAGAACTATGGGATAAAAAGGATACTCCATAGTTCTCTTTTAAGTACCATTTTAGCATAAATCCTGAAGATGACAGAAATTGGAAAGACATTAACTAGCAAACTGATTACTAAAATAAATGTATGCTGTAGAAGACAGCAACCAGTATGAGCAAAGCACTGGATTTTGCTGTGCGAAATACTCACATTGCCTGTTGCATCGTTTCCTTGTTTCTGCTTAGATGGTTTCTGTTGAGATAAAATTGGAGGTGGTGGCTTTTTTTTCACTGGCTTTTTTTTCTTAGATTTGGATGCTTTTTTGGCTGTTTTATTCTTTTGTTGCCAACCTTTGTTCTTGACCTTGCCCGTGTCTGCCTGTAGAAAAACAGTTTACAAGTAAGCAGACTTTTCGTTTAAACAAGAACCACTGTCCACCGACCACTACAATTGAAGTAACACTGTTCATTTTGTAGCCTGTTGCATGCATCTAAAAAGGTCTCTTGTGGGGTAATGCTATTACGCTTATTAACCATCACAATTCATCAAACACAATAATACAATTTGTTTACAACTCTGGTCATATTTACCACGGCAGTCATGTGCCAACTGCACGTATTTTGCAAGTATCTGTGAATTACGCTGATGAAGAATACATAAAGCAGACCAAATAAAGACCTGCACAATTGATAGGAAAAAAAAGCTGCAGATTGATTGTTGGTAGCACTGCCATGAACAGATAACTTTATTTTTTATGAAGGCCAACTTTACATTATCCTACTACCTTCCCTATGCATGAAATGCAGCAGCAGGTACTTTAAAGGAGAACTATGGGGTTAGGGCTTTCCCCCATAGTTCTCCTAAAGGTAACTAGCGTCCTCCCATCACCCAAAGCTCAGTATACCGCGAGCTACAGCTTGCGATATACTGAGACGCCGCAGCTGAAACGCATCCCGACAATTATGTCTGGATCCACCCAGCTGCATGAGTGACAGCTGGCTCTGCCTATCTAGAGGCAGAGCCAGCTGTGCCCGCCCCCTCCCGTTCCGCCAGTCAGCGCTGGAGGATCGGACAGGGGAATCCAGTCTCTCCCCTGCCACGGCTCTCTGCAGTGACAGGATCTGCAAGTGAGCGAGCGCCGGCATGTGTTCGCTCACTTCCTGATCTACTGAGCCGACCTGTGACAGTTTCATTGTCACAGGTCGGGTAGAACTATGAGGATGAGTGAAAATCACTCACCTTATAGTTCTCCTTTAACATAAGGAGAATTTTCTAATGGGCCATCGGAGTGTCCATTACGGCGTTTTCATAAGACAATTTATTCTTCAGGCCTTTTCATAGACAGTGTGAGGGGAGTATACCAAGACTGGAGCAGACAAACTATGGAGCAGCTGTGCATGCCAACCAGCTTCTATTTTCAAACCTTAACTGAACAAACTGAAGATAGAACCCG